GCCCCCCACACACACTAAATCTCTCCTTTCTCTCTCTCTCTCTCTCTCTCTCTCTCTCTCTCTCTCTCTCTCTCTCTCTCTCTCTCTTTCTCCCTCCCTCCCTCCTTCCTCCCTCTCTTCCCTCCCTTCCCCCTCCCTCGTTCCTTCCTTCTCTCTCTTTCTCTTCCCTTCTCTCTTCCCCCACCCCCAAGTCTGGGCTATGTGCCTCCCTATATATAACCCCACCAACGCAGCTGTCTCACAGTACTTGGCTGTCTCTCTTAAACAGGCTGTACCGTCTTTAAGGAAGGGGACTGTCTCTGCTTTGTTCACTAGTGTATCCTCATGCTGCCTGCACATAATGGTTTCTCCATAAGTATTCTTTGTTAATGAAGAAAATATATACACTTTAAGCCAGAAATTCCAATCTAGAAAGTTATCCCAAAGAAATAATAAAAAGGAGATTTATTACATAATTGCTCATAAGAGCAAGAAATCTGAGGTCTTAAATGCCCATCGACTGACTTAGTCGACACCTAATGTGACATATCCACACATGGAAAACAATGCTATAAAACATTTAAGGACACATAAAGGAGTTCGAATGAAAGAAAAAGTGTGTTATAAAATAGTATAGACAAAATGATCCCATCTTTGTAAAACAGATATATTTATATGTGTAACTACACTACAAAAAAAGCCTGACGTTCTATACAAAATATTAACAGTGGCTTTCTTTCGGTAACAGGATTTACAGTTACTATTTATTTTCTTCTTCAGGCTTTTCTCCATTTTCCAAATTATTCAGTAAGCAGTAATGCAGTCATTCTTCATTAAATATTAATATATGCAATTTTTTAAGAGATGCTCTGAACAGGCAATTACCTTCATGACGGCGGCAATCTCCTTCCACTGCTCCGGAGTTGGGTCGGTCCCGGTGGGATTGTGCGCACAGGCATGGAGGATGAAGATGGAAAACTCAGGAGCATTCTGAAGAGAATGAAGCTATATCAGCTCTGACACTAACAGGAATATGAGGGGACAGAGTCAGTGGCACACTGGTCAAGGGGCAGCACATTCCCTCATTATGTGCCATTTCAGAAACCACCATCTGGACGGTGGTTTCTCAGACTCTCTCAATTGTCAACTGACCCAAAGACTTTCCCCGGATCCTCCTGACACCACAAGGCTCTGTTTACTTTTTCATCTCATCACCCACCTCCAGATCACTCAGGAAACCCTGAAGGTCAAGTCCTCTCTTTGCTGCATCCCAATAGCGATAGGACCGAATGTCTTTAAATCCAGCAGCAGAAAATACACCATTATGATTATCTGCAAGCAAAGGGGTAAAACATCAAACGCTTTTACAAACATAGGAGGTATAAATGAAAAGGACACAAGTCAGCTTCCAGGGCCCTGGAATGTCCACTGGGTGACATCAAGAAGAGGAGTTAGATTTAGAAGAATGAATGTAAGTAAGAACAAGTTCGACTTGTCTTATTACTAATGCTAAACTTATATCCTACTAGAGTGAGACTGCCTGCATTTACATTTTATAATGTAAATTTCAACATACATGAAAATACAAGTCCACCAAGAGTCTTGGGAAAAAGTATTATTAATGTGAATTTGAGCATCAGGTTACTCATGTCCTGCTATAGTCTACTATTGCTCAAGCTATTCTTAAATGTCAGTTGATCCAGGGCTGGGTTACGTTTTCTGCGTCTGCAGTCAGAGTCATGAAGATAATTACTCCTGGCTTCTCTGTTTTTCCTCTTGATAGAGCTAAAGAACTCACCCCAGGTTGGTGAGGACACATAAACAGGTGTGTCCTTGTTGTTTGTTCCATTGTACCACTGCGCTAAGAACTCGGCTCCAATTCGAAGTGCACCTGTTCCCCCCAAAGACTGCACACCTCCTACCTGAAAGAGAAGAAGCAGGGTCATTGGTTGATAATGGTAAAGTCAGGCAATATTAGGGAAAATACGGTAATGACGAGCACTTACCTTGTGCCTGCTCTAGGCGAAGCCTTTTTAATGTTCTATTTCATGAAACCTCACAACGACATGAAGAAGATACTGGTATTTGTCCATGTTAACAAGTGAGGAAACTGAGGCTGAAGAGTGAAGCACCTTGCTCAGAGTTACCAGCTCCAAGATAACTGAGTAGAGCCAGTTCTTTAACCCAAGATGTCTGATAGTCTGACTTTTAGGGGAGCTTCCTTTCTGAACACAGAGGGAGAAGACATACCCAGGCCACATCAGAGTGCACTCTGGAAGGCACACCTACAATCCCTTTGGCACCCGTCCCAAGATCACAACTGCCCTCCAGCAGAAGCCTGGAAAATAATGTTTCTAGTTTCCACTGACATCAATCTGTAATACTTGTTTTGCATTTCTACAATGCAGGCTTACTAAGCCTTAGAAATATGTTGTAACAAAACAAAGGTGACATGCGAATACTATTTTCCTCTCCTGAGCTTCCTCTCATCTTAAAATGACCTCACATGGACAATAATAAAAGCCATATGTTCTACCATTTACGAAATACCTTCACACACATTCTTATTTGATCCTCACACAATCCTGTAAAGTAAGTTCTAGACCCCCAATCTACATAAGGAAATTGATTCAAAGAAGTGGTTTACCAAAGGATACAGAGCTAGTGACTGGCAGAACGGGACATCAATCCAGGTCTTCATCCTCTGGAGCTAGTCACTATGCCCTGCTTATGTTGTTCTGCCTACATATCTTTGACTTTGCCCTTTCATAATTCTAATGAGGTTTTAGCACACGTCTTTCAGTAGAGAAATGTCATAAATTACACGTTGCTTACTATGGCTACAGGACTGAGGAGAAAGGAAGAGATCACCCGAGAAAGCCTATCTAAATAAAAGGAAGGGTACACACGAATAATAGTGGCAACTTCTGGGGAGAGGCCTAGGTTACATAGGAATAGTGCTCAGAGGGACTTTGTTCTTACCTGTGAGTTATCTTCTAAAAATAAGGAGAATGTATTCATGTATTATTTGTAAAATTTTTAAATAATTTAAAAAATATATTGAGGCATCTGGTATTTGCTGTAAAAACAACTCAGCTTTGGCAGGGGGTGTGGGGTATACAAGACTGACCAAATACAGATAACAGTTAAAGCTAGGTGAAAGATACATGGGGGTTGTTCATTTTACTGTTTTATCTACTGTTGTATATATTTGAAATTTTCTACAATAAAAAGGTTTAAAAAAAAAATCTTCCTAGATAAAGAAAAGCTTCCAAAATCTTTAAAAACAATAAATAACACTGATGCTAAAAGATGACAAAGGAAAAAATTAGGAAAAAAGGAGAGACCTAGCACTTTTATGGATATTGATATTAACTTCCCAAATAAACACTAATAAACAGTATGAATCCAACGGTATGTTTACAAATACTCCCTTGATCAAGTGAAAGTCATTCCATGAATGTATGATTATTATGAAATATAAAATTTGTCACGCTGCTGGACAGGGAAAACCCAAACGATCATCGTAACAGATGAAAAAAGGCGGTATAGCCATTTCTGATATAAATACTAAGACAAGAAACAGTGCATACATTCTGAAAATAATTGAAAAAACAAATTCATTCAGCCATGATGAATAAGTAGCCAGCCTCATGATGAACAATGAATCATTAGCAGAAATCCCCTTGAAGCCAGGAAGAAGGAAGGCAATGATATCAATTATCGCCACTATTAGTTCCACTGTCCTATTTATATTGAGATCTGCACATCGGTGAAAGAATACTGTACTCTGAAACATGAAACAGAAGCAAAGTCATTTCTTTGGGAATGAGGAACTGAGTACACCTGTACCTCGCAGAGGTCCTTGAACTGAGCACACCTGTACATCGCAGAGGTCAGTTGGTGCGTGTCAGGTTTCGCACACTAACTTCCCCAATCTTCAGTGATTTCCACTAAGTCCTGGTCCCTTCCCATTACTTTAAAGGTTTTGCCTTCACATTGTGACCTACCTGGATGCTTTAACGCAAATCTCTATCAATGTGATGTAACCCAAATATGCATTTATTCTTCATGGCTTTGTCACCAGCTACACTGAATGTCAACTTTACTCCTTACTTCACATTTCAAACACCTATGCAATTCTGGATTGTTGATACTTCCTGTACAAATGAGCAAGGTTTCCCTTAAACAAGGTGTTATCATGGATATGTGATAGGCACACGTGGATATCAGAGAAAACATTCCCAAGAATAATTTTTTATTTCCTATGCTCAACTTTTAACTCCACCCTTTCTTTCCACTCCAGAAAGCAGGTTCATTAATTAAAAGAAGTCAGACAGTAGATGAAATTGAAAATGTGTTGGGAAGAGAAAAACCCACTTCACTAGCATTAACTGATCCTTGATATTCATGATGTATATGACACGTGACATACAATTCTCAAGAAACTAGCGCTCCCTAAAAATATATTGAACACTGGAGGGCTTCAGTAAAACACAAATTGCTCTAAACCATATCAGCAATTAACAGAAACAAATTTTTGGTGAATCAATAATGTGGCAATTTGGTCATTTTGTGAACTGATTTTCGGCAAACTGCTCTAAAGCTCAAGAAAATTCTGTACTTGGGATGAAGGGAAATCATATTATCGAAGGAAATAAGTACAGTCTTCTCAAGGAGCCAAGTGGCTGGACCTGGGTGTCTAAACGGGGATCTCCAGAACAAGGGAAATCCAGTAAGACCTGGCGTGAGGCTCTGTCAGTAGAACACCTGTACTCCTGACTTAGCCACACTACCTGAAGAAATCCCTGCCAAACTCTAGAACATCTGTCTGGATCACATTTGCTGATGTGATGACTTCACTGTGTGGAGCAGGAGAGTCGAGTAGGAGCCGCTTACAGCCAAGGCCACGCTGCACTCATCTGGGTGCCCATAGCAATTCACACACTATATATGTGGCATGTGGTACTAAATAAACATGGGCTCAGCTAGATGGAGAAAAAGGCAGTGACGAAAAGAGGAGGGCCACAGCCAAAGCCCCAAGTCTCCCAGAAGCAATGGTCAAAGCGAGAAACTGGGATGTCATCACATGGCACACAAGCCCTCCTACCTACAGTGGCTCAGTAACTTCAGAAGTTAAAACATTACTGTGGAGGAGATAAAAACTGGACATCTTGTCTGGATCCTCAGGTCTAAAGATGGAAAAGCAGTAAGAGGCAGTGAAGAGTCTAGAAAATATGTCTCCTCCAAATGGTTGAAGGACTTGGTAATGTTAAATCTTGAGAAGACAACTCTAAAGGAAAACATGATTATTGTTTGTTTTCTGGTTCATTCATTCTTTTGCTCATGCTTCATCTCCTTCAAGTTTTGGCCCGAAGGTCATTTCTAGTCTACTATGACCACCCTTGTTAAAACTGTATCCATCCTCATTCCTCTTCGGCATTTTTTTTTTTCCCACTCCATTTTTATAGCATTTATTATCTTTTCATATACTATATCATTTTCTTATTTATTATGTTTATATTCGGTTTCTCTCCACAAAACTGTAAGCCAGGGCAGAGGATTTTGGGTGTTTTGGTCACCGCTGTGCTCAAGCCACCTGGAACAGCACCTACCCCTAGTGGCAAGCCCTCATCTGTTGACTGAATGAATGAGTGAATTCAACTATCTGAGAATCTCTGAGGTGCCAGGCTAGGAGCTAAATACTAAAGGTTTGCAAGATAAATAAGTAAGCCATCATCCCTGCCCCGGGGGAAGTTACGGTCTTGTGGGAGAGACAGACTTACAAAATTATACAACTAATTACACTTATAAAATTAGTAAGCACAGTAAGTACTGTTATTCCCAAGTTGTGAACAGAGTCCTACAATAACTCAGAGTACTCCAACAACTAGCTCTGCCTGAGAGAGCTAAGGATTCAGCATGGAGGTGACATTTGATCGGGCCTCGAAGGACTTAGAGGTGGCAACTGGGGAGTTTGAGCAGTGAGGGGGCGTTCCCAGGAGAGGACCAGCTGAGGCAAAGGCTCAAAGGCTCTAAGTCCTGATGAGGCCTGCTAAGTCTAGAAAACAAGGTCTTAGAATGGCAGGACAGCAGGTGGGGTGTGCATAAGTAACTGGAAGAACAGGACGAAGTCTAGCTACAGATATGCTGCCTGCCCAGTTCAAAGTCTGGATTTTACCCTGTTGATAATGGAGGAGCTACTGTGTGTGTGAGGAGGGGAGCAGGTGACATGATTAGCTTTTTTTACTGGGGAAGATCATTCTAGCTGTACCATGCAGAACGTACTAGAATGAGGAAGAGACTAGAGGCAAGAGGCTGTTACAGGAATCCAAATGAGATGATAGTGGGCTGAACTGAGACAGGAGCCTAAGGAGTAAGGAAA